GCCGCTGGTGCAAACAACTCTGCAATTTAGGAGCACTGTACATTATTGTGAGCAGGAGTTAAACGCAAAGCTCAGCAGAGGAGGCGCCTTCGCTATATATCGTTTTCTGAAGGAAAGCAGATAGGGACCCATACCAAGGGTTGATCCCCGAAAATCCGGCAAATTCATTAAAAAACAGCTCTGACTTTTATTAGGTCAAAGCTCCAACGCAGTCTTCCAGTGCGCGGATTTTCAGCAAGCAGATAAAGTCACCAATTTTTCCTTCCTCTATATTTCTAAATTCTTTACATAGATCTGTTCTCCGGCTCAAAATTTATATACCTACGCTTCGCTCTGCTACAGCCTTCCGTGATTTGGCAATAGCCTTTTCGTCTGCTCTTTATATTTGATTTTCCTTGTCCTTACTTCACTTTCACTCATTCATCTTCGCTGCAGATGTGTCAGAGTCAGACTTTGTTTTTGAAATTTTTAAATTTGACCTCGAGTTGAACCCTGGTTGAGGCCAACTGTTCCGTTCCGTCATTTTTTCTCTAATTTGAGAGAAATTTCGGTATGCAAGTTTCACATATAATACCTCCCATTGAAGTGTTTATACGCGCTCATATGATGTTAAATACTACCTTACTTTCAGGTGTATAAGCGCGGGTGACCTCTCCTAGAATCGACCAGCCCAAAAACGCTAAAAGACTTCACAGCCAAAGAAGCTTAAACCGTGCTTGCTTGAAGGCAGCGGCTCGGCAAAGTGGCAGCTTTGGGATATTCATCGTTTTCGTTATTCCTGGATGAGCTAAGTCCAAAACTGTGCTTTGCAGCTTCAAATGATATCAATAACCGCTTTTCCAAACGTGAAAATGCCGTTTGGGTGGTCGCGAAAGTGGGTGTTGGAGCCAATCCAACACCCACTTTCCCACCAGCCAATTACCGCTGAGATGGGTACGGTATCTCCACCCACGGCCAATCGCTCTAGAGGGCAGGCGTACGCCTTCTGCCCAAATAGCACTTTTATGTCTGGAAAAGCGGATTATTGAT